GGCGGACGGCGCACATCCAGCAAACGATGGCGAGTACTTCCTGCTGCGATACTTCGTCTACAACCGGCTCATGCCCGTGCTACTGGGAGTATCCTCTATGACCGGTAAGTATTAGTGTGAAAGTGTTTATTGGTGGTTGAGCGATGATACCCTGGTCAGTGGCGATTGTGGTGACGATGCAGCGTGAGCACAGTCCAGTGAGACAGCAGGGATCAGAAGCACGTGCCGAGCAAGCCGAGCGTTGATTAATTGCTCAATTGATTGATTGATTGATTGATTGATTGATTGATTGATTGATATGGTGAGTCTAACGTCTCAAAAGCACCATATAATTATGAGAAACGCCGCATTGGAGGACTCCGGAAATTCTGACCACCGGGGATTCTTTAACGTGCACCCAAATTTGGGAGCATGGGCCAACACCGTTTTCGCCTCCATCGAAAATGCAGCCGCCGCAGCCGCACGCCGAGTGTTGGTGATGCTGTTCCATAGATGGGAGTGCATCTTCAACACTATAACAATAAATCCTGTCCACTAGATTATGGAGTACCCTTGCATTCTATTTTGTAACTTTACAATAAACACCGTGATGTATAAATGTAACCCGTATTGAGGTATCAGTCAAACCAGTATTGCCACAACTCAGTGCTAAGGCATTCGTTTTGTCGCTAGTGAAGTCTCCGCGAAAAGGAAACTGAAAAGCAACACAATTTTTTGCGTATTAGTAAAGTACAGTTTCACAATATCGAATACACCACTCTTAGCGCGACACGACGCTTACTGATGGCGTATTCGGGTGGAGTATTTCGAGCGCTCTAGAGCGCTCTGAAAAGCAACCGCGCCTACGGTTGGTGAAATTGGAGCGCTCGGACTGCCTTCGGTTGGTTTTTTCGGAGCGTCAAACTTTGACTCAGAGCGCTCCCGACGGCTCTGACTTCGAAGTGAGAGCGTGGCGCGATCTGGCCGAGAGGATGGATCACGTGACACAAGTTCTTGGTTGCCGGCAGGTGACAGCGCAAGCGCACATTCTGGAAGGGGCCATCGCCGGTGTTGTTCGTGGCGTGTATTTGCGTGGCGAGTTCCCGTCTACGAAGCCGTAAGGACACCATGTCAAAAGGGAGGCGGCTAATGAAGGCAGAGGAAACGTCAATGCTGTTGTTACAGCAGCTCGTAGACGAATGCCTTGACGCTAGCAGTTCGGACGACGACGATGACGATCGCCAGATTTATGCTAGCAAGTTCGCCGAGTTGTTCGCCAAGCCTATTGTTGTTCCAAAAGTCCAAGGATACGTTCGGAACGTTGTCAGCAATTATTCCGATAAACAGGTAAGGTAGGGCCGCATCCAAACTGCGTCCAGACATGTCGGAGATCGCCACTCAACTGACCGGCGCCATTTGTCGATGCAGCGCAGAAATGTTTACCTGGCGGCTTCCCGCGCTCGCGGCACGGTGGCGCTACAGGCGTGCTGCTCCGACATCGCCGATGTATTCGGTTGGTACGCTGCCTCTCGCACTCGGATTGCGAGCGGCCTCTGCATCTGGCCACTCTGAGCCAGAGGACCAGAGCGGCCAACCGAATACGCCATAAGTGAAAAAACACGCCAAAAGAAAAATGCAGGGAGGGACGCCATTTAGAGATTCCCGCGCCAAACCTCATGATCTCATAAATTTTGAAAGCCTCTGATGGGTCCTGCGTAGCTTCTAATCTACAAAAATGAAATCGTTTGACATATGTGGGCGCCGTAGACATAGCATACGTTTCAGAAAAATTTCGTTCAGCCGATATCGCGAAAATACAAATTATACATTTTGAAATTTTCGACGTCACGTGCGCAAGCTTGTCTCGGTGACAAATTTAACAACGAAACTCCAACCTTCCTTTTCTCCACAAGTGATGAACTTACTGTAGTGAAACATATGGCTAGAGTTCTCATTGCTTCTCAATAGTTACCCAGTTACCCATCAATTTTAACCTAAAGCTTGAGGCAGTATTCTTGTTGGTTATAAACGTGTCTCATGTGGGCAAGCTTTGCATCATAGTTCGTCGCAATGATGATAACCACAGTATGTAGATTGAATTGCTACTAAGGCTAAAAGCTCGGATGCTCCTTCAGACATGTGAATTGACCGGCGGCGCCAGCGGCTACACGAACGATGCTAAAAAAATTATCTGATGACATCATTATAGGATTACCATCGGTGCATTTTACTTACGCTTATTTTTTATTTATTAATCACACAAACGCCACTGCCATCTCCTCCATCCGCCACTCTTAGCGTTCGACCCCCCTTGCGTCTGCAACGAGTACAATCCGCCAACTTCAGGCACCCAGTAAACCGTATTTTCCAGCTGGCGGCCCCACTGTCATCGCAGTCAAAGACTGTATTCTGAGGCCAGGCACGGCCTGACCGCCATTCCTCTCTGAATTTGTTTTAACTTTAGTCTGTAATTGTATTTTAGGTTGTGATCATGCACTACACTACACTCTGGGGCTCTGAAGTGTTCTTTGCTTGCTGTCGAAACCCAGCTACCTGGGTTGGCGGTGGATTCCTGATCGGCGCGGCAGAAGCAGTCTACAAGTACGGCATTATCCGATGCCAAGCTCCTTTCGGCTACGCTCTAAGCCTTGTTCTCGGTGAGTACGGCATGACAGCGTCTGATGTGGCCTCGCACCCCTGTTTAGTGGGTGAAACAAACAGTTAGGCCTGGCATTGAACGAGCGCTGACAAACATCGGTTATCAGCGTTAAGTATACACATCATAACTTTCAAGCTATACGCGCAAATATTCACGCGTAATTCAGCTCATTCTGAAGACCAATGCGAGAGTAAGGTTAACCTTGTTATACGTACCATATATTGTACTCTATGCCGAGTTTGATACATTACTCTTGAGACTTGAGTACGAGTAAGTATAGACTAAAGTAACATTTCTCACGCATTTCAGCATGTTTTCACATGTGAAAGCCTCGAAAACAAATTATTACCGTACTTATGCGATGGCACTGAAATTTCAATGGATTCTTCAGTTTCGTACATATGGGCCTTACGCGAGTGCAGATCGCTGTTAAGAACTTTGAATACGAACCACAATATCTATTCACTGTCTGAAACGTTTCTGCTTCAATTTCAGTGTTATGATTATATACATTGTGACTTAGTACTACGTATTAAACTGTCCAGCCTTCAAACACATATATCTCTAAGGGACAGATGGCTACCTGTACGTGTTACATCAGAGCGCACAAGCTTCCAGTTGGTGCAAATTAGTTTTCAATCCCATGATCCAATTTTGTTATTTTGGCATTGATTGATATGTGGGGCCTAAAGTCCAAAAACCACCATATTATTATGAGAGACGCCGTAGTGGAGAGTTTCGAAAATTTTGACCATCCGGTGTTCTTAAACGTGCACCCAAATCTAAGCACATGGGCCTACACCATTTTCGCCCAAGGTGGTCAAAGAACCCCCGTGGTCGAAATTCCGGAGCCCTTCACTACGGCGTCTCTCACAATCATATGGTGGTTTTTGGACGTTAAACCCAACATATCAATGAATCAATCAGAAATGCAGCCGCAGCAGCCGGGATTCAATCCTGCAACCTGCGGGTCAGCAGCCGAGTACCTTAGTCACTAGACCACCACGGTGGTGTTATTTCGGCATTAAAATGTGTCACAGAGCGTAAAGCATACAGACGACGGTTCCAAAGTGCGAGACTACAACGGTACCCTCAGAGATGATTACTCGTAAAATAAAGTGTTAGCAGCTGTTTGAACTATAAGAACAAAACAAACAATACACAAAGCAGAATGAAAAAGAAGGCATAATACCAAAGAAAACTAATTCTAAATACCATGTAAAGCAACACATATTTCGCACCAATAAAGAAAAGGACAGAAGAATTATTTAAAAATGTTTCAATGAGCATTGTTCCCAATGGGTTGCAGTCATATTGTGAGATGCCTCTATTCGGAATATGAATTTTGGTCTCAATTTCGGCTTCATATTTTTTTATTTAATGGTACGACGTTCTACTCACGTTGCAAAAAATAAGCGGTGATCTAACCTGACTTCGATTTCGTTCAACTTAGTACTGAACCAGGTCATCCTTCAATTCACAGATGCTCCTTGTTTTTGCAAACTTACGACTTTGCCGGACTTGCAGAAGTGGACGACATTGTGTGAATTTCATTAAAAGTTGATTTTTTTTGTTTTTACTGAGTCAGACTCCAAACAACCTTTGTTTCACTTTTGTTTCGAATAAAAAAGCATTCAGATTTCTATTCACTGTTTCACCCTACGAGCACGAATTGTTGACGCAGTGTTCCAAATATTGTTGAATGTCACGCAACATTGTTGTGTTAATGTTACCTGGTGTTTCTCAACATTCAACAACGTTCAACACTGTTGTGCCAGCAGTGTTGCGGTATTGTTGCAGTTTTGTTACAAGAACATCGCACAATATAGAGTGATGTTAACCCTTGATCGGCTACATGGCTTCAGCAGTCTTTCTAACTACGCCTATTTCCTGGAAAACTGCTAGTCCTATTTTCGTGACATGCGCAAATATAAAGATTTCTCAGTGGCTTGCCCCCATTAAATATACCATTGTTGCAATGCTGGCCACACTGAGAGCGCGAGCGTAAAATTGCAACGCACATTTTTAATTTTTTTTCGAAATAAGTTTCTCTAGTACCGCAAGTTAAAGCTTTCTCAAAGCCTGACCGAGAATTCGAAACTGCAACTTTTCCTTCAGTGTACATCGCGTTAAACGGCTATTCCATGAAGTATACGACTTCCAGCTTATCAACGGGTGAGCTCTTTAAATATACAATATACCTTTGACGTTACGCAGAGCTTGAAGAGGCTCCTACATTTCCTTTATTACACGTGAGAGGGCGCCAGGAGCGCATTTTAAAAGATGTCGCCCTGGTCATTTTCTCCCGGAGTTGGCATGCGCACATGCCTTCTACCTGCATCATCTGCACTTTGCCCAGTAGGGCGTGGTCACCGGACGTGGTGAGGGGTGCGAAGGTGACTTTGCTCACTGCAGCGGGTAATTTGGTAAAGGAGTCACCCGCCAGCTAGAAGAGCCAACGTACGGGCATTTGAAGGTAGGTGCATAGTCGACATCTCCAGCGTGGTACTCAAACACAAATAACTAACAGCTGTGATAGCTTAGCTAGCGTTCGTCCTGGGTATACACGTGTTTTTTTATCGTGCGTGCTTCTTTGTGTTTGAGCTGAGCCCTGCAAGTGTGAGCTGTGACATTTTTTAGTTCTCGCTTGTCTTGTGCGTATTCTTTTCAAGCGTACTTTGTGATCGTGCAGCGCAATGCGAGTTTCTAGCTGTTTTCCATTCTTGTCACATTGCAACTTGTTGCTATGACATTCATTTTTTGCCCTTGCGGCGATACTGGCTTTATTGCTTTCAATCTCGTTTTGTCCGGAAAATGTTTCTACGCCTCGTGTGCATGTGTGTTCCCAGGTGGCAGCCTGTTCGCATCCAAGATTCGCTCCACGAACGCGCTGACCATGATGGACCCGTTCCAGCGCCGATACGGCCACCTGGTTTGCTTCTTGCTCATGCTGCCGGCGATTTGCGCCGAGATCGCCTGGTCGGCAGCTGTCCTGGCAGCACTTGGTCAGTATCATTGGATGGTGCAGTCGTGACCATTGTGATGTATTTGTATACGCCACTACTTGTTTCGCACCGGATGCCAATCGCTTCGCCTAAAGAACAGCCTAAAGCAGTGTATCGCTATAAAACTATGCGCGTTTTCAGTAAACTCATGCGTTCGGTACTCCGTAACTGCGTCATTCTCTACCTAACTTAACCCTTAGGTGGCTCAAAAAGACTACGAAATTAAGGCTTTGACGGATTCCCGTCTGGTTGGGAAGAATTATTGTATAAAAAGACAAAAGCGCCGACTATAACAGAATAAAAAATGTAGTAAGACGTTTCAGCAGCAAGAATAGGAGCCTTGTTCACAATCATTTGTGAAAGATTGTTAACAAGGCACCCGTTCTGGGTGATGGAATG